CTCTTATTTTATTTTGCTTCTTACCTAAACTGTAAGCAAGTCTAAGAACAGGTTTACAAATCAAACTTATTTATTACTGAACACATACAGAAGAAAATGACCATGGATTCTCTTATTACATGATTTGCAGTCAAGTTCTATTTTGATTAAAGACCAGATACACATTAGCAAAAGGAATAATAACACAGTTGCAGAGAACAGAATATAGCAATATATTTCTACTGTGATTCAACAAGTTGCAAAATAGTTAACAGGTGTTTCCTGGGTACAGAATGGGAATACATGAGAGGAGGGAAGGACATCTTGTCCAAGATGGGGAAGGAGGTGAATGATGATCTAGAGGAGAATTACAGAAAACAATACGGCTTGGGCTAGGCAATCTTCTCTTTTTTAGACAGGAATAAAGCAGAGCTGGTATTGGGGTGGCACAGAGGCAAATCCATTGAGCACTGGGGTTGTATCAATATCCTTAGTATTAACTAGCGATTTCAGCTTAAAGTTCTGTAAAATGGTGGTGAGAAATAGAAACAGCTCCATTCGTGCCAGGCCCTCTCCTGCACAAATTCGTTTTCCTAGGGGAAATAAAAACAAAGATTACTATTCTCATTTGCAAATTTGAGAATCACTGCCTTTGTAACTGAGACTATAAATGAAGGGTAAGTTTTAGGTGGATGGATAGATGTTTGGCTGAATGAAAGAACAATTAATTCGGCAAATAGAAAAATGTGGAACATAATTGTTTAACAATTTACCTATACTATTAAGAAATACATTGTTCAAAAATACTTTTTAACTAGTTGCAGTTATTCACATCTGTAATCAGGCTGCCTAGGAGACTGAGGAGGAATTCTGTGTTAATTATCAAAAATAACTCTCTGATCTATTCATGAAATTCTATTAATGATAAGTGATTTCTTCTGATGATTCTCCACAACCCATGAATTTTGAGGCAACTAGGGAATCATTTATTAGAATGGTGTTCCATTTTTGCACTAATATATCAAGTTGGAAAGATAAATGTACTCATATCCCCAATAACCCAGAGATCTGGGAGTCTTTCTCATTGGCCTACTTAACTGAAATTTAGGAAGCATTATTCATTTGTGTGTTTGCCAAGTGCACTTGGGGTGTTTCAGTAATTTTTGGTATTTTTGGAGACTTGTAATTACATAGTTGAGCATGGAGGTGAGTGACACAGCAAAGAAGACCTGAGTGTAAATTATGACGTCTCCATTTTCACGGTGAGTAAAGTGTAAATGGCCTTTGCTTTCTTTGGTATTCTGTGATGTAGCTCAAGGAAGAATACAAACACCCTATACTCTAAGTTTCTGAATTTTGAACAGTGGATTAACAATTAAAGCCTCACTTTCATAACCTGACAAAGAAGAAATCCCTTTATCATGACACGCATAAACACTGAAATTCATACTCCTGATCACTGGCCATTAGGGAGCCACTATATAAGTCTCAACAGAGCCTCACGTCACTGCATCCACGGAAATGAATTTCAATTACCTGTTGAAAATGGCATGAAGTAGTCACTTTTCTTAAAGTTTCCATTCTTATCTAGAAAGTGGCTAGGGTCAAATATCTCTGGGTTGGGAAATTCCTTGCTGTCATTCAGCACTGATGAGAGTGATGTTATTACTGTTGTTCCCTGTAACAACACACAGAAACAAATAAAGTTAAAAGAAATCATAGAGCTAAGACAAATCAGGAAAATATCCAGGTTCATCTTCTGCTGCATAGTTGGGATGAAGTACAAAGAACAGTGGGACATTTCAACAGGCAGAGCAGTTAAGAAGCAGGGAGAAGTCTGAGGTCAGGCACAGTGTTGTAGCTGATGTGATTCCAATGACATTTCACATGAGTACTTGGACTAAAACTTCTGAGTCTCTTCTCCCTTTCCTTTAGATTGAACTCATGCTTCTCTGAACACTGACTGCTCTAGTTCATCACATATGTCTACATATCCCTCATGTGAATCAGGTTCCAAGTGGAAAAATTCATTAAGTGTCTTGAAAAAATAGGAGTCCATTCATTAAGTACAATAAAGAAGATTTGGAAAGACAAAGGCCACTCCTTTTCTCTCACTTATAGAATCTATCTTTTTATTTATAAGAAACAAAATGCAAGGCTATATCAGAAGTATATGTGTTCAGTCTTGTATATAATCTAT